ACATATGTATCTATTCTGAAGGCATATGTATATGTGCCTATAGAATAGTTATACATAACTCAGAGTTCTTATAAATGGCATACCTTATTTAATTTTATTAAGTGTTTTGGGGTTTTAATCCATTAGGTAGTTTCATTCGCTATATATAAAAATAGTGTTCTCTACAGCAGCTTTCTTTTTCAGTCAGTACCTGGATTTGTGCTACTGTATCCAAGGGAATACAGCTCTTGAGTGTAATGGTCTGAGAACAGAATATTATCCACATTATTACTTTAATGCCCAATAGTCTGTATCGTATTTTTTTCTGGTTTTAAAACTTGATGATGGAAGTGAATTGTATAACTTCAGTTATACATTAACATTGCTGCATTCAAGATTCTCAGATAGTGCAGTGTGGAATGGGAATATGCCTATAATACATACTGGTATCAACTTGTTTTCTGCCAGGTGGATTAAGAACTGGTTAATGGACAGACTGCAAAATGTAGACGTGTGGGGTCACCATAAATTGCCCTGTGTGTAGTAGGGTTACTGGTGCATTGGTATAAAACAGAGTGTTCTGTAGTATTTGCGTCCAGAATTAGGAAATAGGAAATAATTGCATCTGAACAGTGTGTACCTTATTTCAGCTAAATTCATAAACTAAGCTTTGGTTATGGACATGTAATTGTGGATGTTGATGGGGCAAATGGAAAACAGTGGCTCTGAAATTTAAATAATACAAAAAATTATACAAATGGATCAAGTTCTGCCACCTGTTCCACTCCCATATTCCATTTGTGCATTTATATGTATACATTTGGGGGCTTTTAAAATATGAAACACATTTGAGTATGCAAGAGCCATAAAGTCTGGTTTGTAAAACCCATCAGAATTCAGTGATGAATCCAGAGAGCTGTGCTTGTGTTTAGTGGGAAGTAGGAAGTAATTAGTAGGAAACTACTGAAATCCATTTTTTTTAACAGAAAACCTATATTCACTTTATTTTTTAATTCTCCTGTAGAATTTTGTAGGAAGATGGTGTTGAGCAGTTTACCAGTATATTAATTATTCATGTAAGTCTCTGGGGCTGAGCAACCATCTCCTGTTGAGAGTTAGTAGAAACTAGATGTCTGGGAGTTCAGAAGTTGGCAGGAGTTTTCATAGGACGTTTTTCCTCAAGGTAATTTTCTTGGCTTTTGCTGTGTTTGAGACTCAGTTTGTGGAAAGAGGGTTGTGTTTCTGCTCTCTCCTCGTGCTCCTGCTTCCTCTTTCACAGGAGTTTCTGAAACAGTGCAGCTGCCTGCCATGAGTTCTCCGGTGCATCGCATGGAAACTTGGCTTCTTGGCACATGGAAGGGATGGCTCTTTTCTTCTGTCCCTATCTCTGGGGAATTAAATTCACATTTTGTGTTCCTGTTTCAGTTTAGAGCCAAATTTTTCACTTCAGCTTCCTTCCTCCTCCTGCCCTTCTCTCCTTTCTTTAATTAAAAGATGCTCAGGTCGAATGCATATAGCTGCAGCTGAAAAAGGATGAAAATAGCACAGATGAAATAGCTACACAGATGAATAGCTATTGAGACCTGGACCTTTATTTAGCATCACATTTGCTGGCATGTCACTGTAATGGAGTTCAAAAGCCGACTGGGTTACTTTTTAACAGATTAATTAAAATCTCTAATTTTAAAGGGAACAAAATTTTGTTTGCAGTCAAACATGATTTTTACAGCTTCAGCTGTTTCTCCCATCTAAGTTAATGACAAAGTCATATTTGTTCAGTGTAAATGGGAATAGATTCACCACATCTGCATGTGTTCAGTCTCTCTGTTTCCCAAAGGCTATGAGTACATCCAAACTGAGATGCTGACTGCTAAAACACGTATCTGTATGGCACTGGCTAAAACTGCTCATTTTCAGTACTTTTGAAGATCAGGTAATTTATGGAGTGCCCAAGGACGAGCACTGGATTTGAGAATTAGGTGACATGTTTTTTTAGGTAATGGACTCCAGGTAGGTGTCTACAAAAAGAGCAAAAAATCAGTCTCAACACCCTTTGCCTTAAATAGTTTCTGAAAACCTGGTAGAATCCCATGCCAGCTCTTGCCTGAGCAGGGAAGAAATTAATTTCAAAAATTACTCAGAATAGTATGGGGCAAAGAAATTGAAACAGCAGTGTTGGGTAGGACAGCATTTCTGATAAATCACACATGATTCTTCTCCCAGAGGAATATCCTGTAAAATACCTGAACACAGAAGTCCTCAATATTGAGGTTAACAGGTATTTTAAAAAGGGGAGAGAGCAATGGCAAGATGTGCACTGAGGTGTTTTAGAGGAAAGGTGGCAATAGACACTCACAGAGCCTGGACTCTAGTTTTGCACAGGTGTCTCTCTTGGTAAAGCTGTTATGAAGTGCCTTGAAAATACTGCTGCTGAAATTATCTTATCTGTGGTTTTGACAGAAACACAGTTGTTCTTCTCCACTCCTCTGAATATTTCCCCTGCTGTCACTTTGAACTTAAAAACATCAGTCTGCTTTCCCTAATTTAACCTCCTTCACCACAATGCCCTTTTGTAATTTACCTATCTTTTTGTTATTCAGTCATTCCCAGCTTCTTCAGCTGAGCTAACGCGATGATCTGCACCCTTTCCTTGAAATCTTCTCTCACAGCATTTTAATAACTTCCCAAAATAAGCTCAGGGTGCTCCTGCCCTTTCAGTTCATGTCGTCGCTGTTTGAGTCATGGGTACAATCAACTGGCAATAGCCAGTTAGGCAGCCACAGCTGTGTACATTGGATATATACGTTTACCCAGAGTGCTTAAATGTGAAGTCTTTTCTTGGTTGAACTCTATCAGGTTTCTGAAGGAGAAGGAGACTCTGGCTGACAGATTTGCCAAGCATATGAAAAGCAAAAGCAAAAGTGATCTTGAAAATAACTCAAAAACAGGGAAAATGTTGCAATATTTGCCTGCATAAAGAGGGGAATATGAAGTATGAGTGTAAAAGAGGTATTGATTTTTGCATACATTAAGATCATTTGGGAATCCTAAATACACTTTTCCTATCCATACTGGAAGAAAGCATTGGAAGAGGCTGAGAAGAGATCTGATCTGACACCTCCACTCTTACGAAAGGCTTGAACTCAATTTTATTTCCCCAAGAGAAGGCTAAGAGGTGAACAGGTTTTTGTTTACTCCATATATATATGTACAAGTAGATCAGCTAAAACTGCTTCCCAGCAAGCATAAATAGCTGTTGAGATCAGTGGCAGGACATTGACAAGTATGAACCAGAAGCAAGATGTGAGTTTGCAGCACTGGGAGTGTCGCCGGAACATTTTAGATAGGGGAATAATTCACTGTCCCTTGGTTTAATGTTTTTCTTTAAAAAATTCCTTGCACCCCAGCCAGCTCATGGCTTCTGTACATAGGAATTGCTGCATGAGGACTTAAAACCTGTCGAGTGGAGGTCAGATGGCTCTCCTGGCCTTGCAGTAGCTGTATGTTCTTATTTCACCTATTCTGTTCTTTTCCCTTGTTTTACTCATTGCACCATACTGTGATGGGCAGCAGTCAGATCTCCATCTTCTGTATTTGCACAGCTTCCAATCCCATGATGCTGGATGAGTAGAAATAATAAACAGCGCTGAGGGTTGGTAACAGTTCAAAGGACTCACAGGGGATGCAGCTACTGAACATCCATTTATTTATTACTTTACTGTTTCTTTTTTTTTTCCCCATAGTGAAATACATGAGAGAAGCAACTCCCTATGTGAAGAAAGGCTCTCCTGTTTCAGAAATTGGGTGGGAGACGCCTCCACCCGAATCTCCCCGATTGGGTTGTGCCTCTGCTGACCCCCTGTCGCAGCTTTCGCTCTCCATCCACAGAGACAAGAAGACGATACCCCTCAAGATGTGCTACGTGACGCGCAACATGACGGTGTCGGACCCTGAAAACAGGTGGGCGAAGGATTTACCTGGGGCTGGGATTTTGCCTTCGCGTTGAATTGCTGTTGACCTTTTCAGCGTTGGGGTTGGTGAGGAGGAGCTGGTGATGGGCTCTGGCCGCACAGAGCAACCCAGCGAGGCGCAAGCGAGCACCGGTTTGGGAAGGGTGGGTGGTGGTGTCTGAGCCATGTGGTGCTGGGTTCAGCTTTTGGGTTGTGCTAAAGAAACTCTTTTGTGCAGTAATCCAACGTTTTTATTAGAAACAGAATCACGGGGGTTTGTTTTCACCCTGATCAAGTGTCTGCTTTTGAAGGAAAAGACTAATTGGTTACCTCTTCCGGGCTGGCTTAATCTTATTCGACTCGGTTGCATTTTCTTTTTTTTTTTTTTTTTTTTTTGAATTTTTTTTTAAAAATGGCCTTTTTTTTTTTTTTTTTTTTTTTATGAATATTATTTTAAGAATGGCCTGTTTTGTCCATTCAGTTCTGGGCATTAAAATCAAGAATAGGAGAAAAGTTCCACTTACAAGGCATTAATGGGAAATTGCTGTGACTTCTTGGTTTTTTTCATAATGTTAAAAATAGGATGAGCTTTTACCAGCCCTTATTTATAACACATGTGGAACAGCTGCACCACACCAGCACACTCTCTGATCCCTGCTCTAACAGCTGCTAATAAAAAAGGGACCAGTCAAGTCAGTAATACAGACTGATTCTTTCATCCAAATAATGGCCTTTTTGTTTTTCTGCAGTGTGCTTGGCTTGCCCAGAAGCTGGGTGTAATGCCTTTGATTCTCAGCACTTACGTATAGGCATAAATAGAAGTTACATTTTCATTTGCAGAGAAGGATAAGGAGAAGAGGGGAGAGCAGAAGGGGTTTTGGGGAGGATGGGTTCCCCTGTAATCTCTTGCAATGCAATTTAGAAACTTTATCAGTATCTGTGTAATTTTCCTTCTTTCTTTTCCATATTTGTCTGACCTTCTTTTAAGGGTTCCCCCCCGCCTCCCCCCGCCATGCTTTATTGTTTAGTGTTTCTTTACTTTGCTTCTGCTCTTCATCTCACCAAGTGGTTACCACCATAGTCAGTGATAACTGACCACTACGCAAGTGCAATCATAAAACAGCAATTACCCTAGCAGTCTTTCTCAAGTTTAAATCAAGATGGTTATTGATATGGGTCACTTTTTTTACATATATCTACGTAGTTTAAGATACTGAGATTTGACAGCTGTATCAAGCCTGAGAGTTTGTGGTTCTCTGTGCCATAAAGTGTATTTTAAAAATGCTCTTGCAGGTTGCATTATTTGAATCAGCACAATGTAACAGCGCACGTTGGCTTCATTCTTTCAGCATTTTTCCCTTCTTTTTTTGACCATATTGTAGTTCTCAGCTTCTGTCACTCTCCTGGTCCTCAGTTTTGTTTGAAGGCCAGGAGGACTGGTTCAGAATGACACACACTCGCTGCTCATGATACTTCTGTGATGGAGCTAACTTTTTTGAAGTGTAGTACAAATATGCGTGTTCTTAGGTGTTACTAGGAAGTAGCGCGTGGGAGAGTCATATTGCTTATTATCATGGTTTTAATTTTGTGTTACTGTCATTTCCTGTGGAAAGAGATTTTTACTGTAGTCCAGCACAGTGCAGTGTATAGTCTAAGCTGGATTTTTCCATCCAAGCTCACAGTATCTAGCTAGCTCATCGTGCTAGCTGCAGTGTAATAGTAGCATCCCATCCATTCAAGTCTTTACCCATTTCAGGGTTTTTGACAATTCTGAATACTGGAACTGATATATTTCCCAGTAGAAATGCTATTACAATGCAGCAACCCTTTCCCACTGGAATATGTCCCAAGATAGTAATCTGATTCCACTAAAAATAATTTGATCTTCATTCACAGCAGAGCCAAACCATGTCCTTACATGCTTATGACACTTCTGTTTTATAACCCAGTGACCTGACACACATAGATCTTATAACTGATGGTGTCACTTTGCTGGACGGCTTTAGAAGAGCACCGCTGGCAGGCTGCCAGAGCATATGATGGCCGTAAAAGGGCTCCTTTGGACTACAGCTGAGCTAATTGTCATCTAAGACCAAGCATGGACATAGAAAGCATGATTTTTCCAGTGTAGATGTTTCTCCAGTGCAGGCTGGAGATCATGTCACCGGAGCTTTGTAGGACCGGGCTGAACTGGTTTGACGTTCAGCATGAGAAGATACCTACCTTAAAGGACCCAGGAGGAAATACCTGCTTGTTGGCACTGAATCATCCTCCAGTTCTTAGAAAGCTGGGGTGAAATGTGGGTTTAACAGGCACGGAGGAAGTTACGCATCTGTTTTTCCCACCAGAGCTGGTAGTCCTGTGTAGGATTTCTGCTTCTCCTTGAAGACTGGCCGCAGTTAAGAGACTCCTAAGTCTGTGTCTACCCTCAGATAGTTTGATGAGCCTGTTATTTCAGAGCAGGAGTGAAGTTTGGTGCTTTTAGAGCCAGAGGTTCTCAGATGTCTCCTTCACCTAACCTGCCTGTGGGTTCACTCTGAAGGACTTAGGGAATTGTCTTCTTTGTTAGCTGATTAAAACAGCTGTAAGATACCAAGGAGAAAATCCTCAATACAAACCAATGTCAAGCCTCAGTATGTAGAAAAATATTTTTTAATAGTACAAACATGGCAACAGGAGAAAAGATGCGGAGCATCATAGTGGCATCTATGTCATTCTCCTCTAGACACAGGGGCCGTCGTTATATTTTAGCCTGAAAGAAGCTAGATTAAAATGATTACCACTTAAATCTGTCATTTGCCTGCTTTTTCACTGATAAGTGTCCTTCTCAGTGGCAGTGCTAGAAGTTCATGCCAGGCCTCACAGGGGAGCATCTCCTCTCAGTGAAAGGACACGTGGGAATGGTCACGGCTAGTAATACCAATAAGCAGTAAATCTTACTGCAGTGCAAAAAGCTTTTCATCAATTTCTGGTGATGATATTAAGGAATAGGAGTGGAAAAAAGGAAACACATCTCTGAGGTGAAATTAGTTCTGTTGGTGCTTTTAAAGTCTTGAGTACAAAGGTACTTCCTTGTGCAGCACAGGAGACACAACGCTCCCTGTAGGAATGTGGCCACGCTGCGCGGACTGAAAAGGTTTTTTCTTCTGCTTTTGAAATGACCCTAAAGTCCTGCTTGTACTTCATTCAGCCAAATGCAGGAAGTGTGGGCCTGATCCAGCCAGCACTTAGTATGCACAGGTCATGTTTTTCCAGTGTCCAAAGCAGTGTGATCCTTACAGGGAACTTCAGCAGGGACCCAGTCTTAAGGATTCAGTTACTTGTTGGCAGGATTTGGCCCTCTGATGGGAAAGGTTTGCTTTGGTTTTGTAGCTAGGAAAAATGAGCCAAGGACAGATTCCCAGCAGGGTGGTGCCAGCTGCCAGCTGCACGCAGTGGCAGCACTGCAGCAAGTACAGGTGCCGTTCATAGACTTCACACCGAAGACACAGAGCAGCAGATAAGGAACTTCCCTTATCTGTTGTCCATTTCAGGCTTGGACTGAGGATTATGATCAGAAGATAAAATTCAGCAGGTACATTTTAAAGGTGGTAGAAGAACTATGCTGGAATGCATTCATCCTGGGCTCTGTGCGCTGAGCTGCAGCTGGGAATTACCTGAGCTTCCCCAGACGACAGGGAGGCGCGAGACAGACTGAGACCTGCTTACTCCAAAGGCAGCTATAGACTTAAGCTGCTTCTTTGCTTATATATATTTTTCTTCTGCATTGGGAAGTACTTATTCACTGAAAGAAGTGTTTGCAAGATTTATTGGAAAGCTGTCGCTCCCCAAATTTATTTCCTTTGCACACATTCTTTTTAAAAAAAAATTCTTACGTTATTTACTAGTATGTCAGTAATGCACAGTAACAGGGTCAGTGAGATTTAACATTTTGAATTGTAAGTGGTGTATAAGCATGTAATTTATGTAAGCATGAAATATCCCTGTGTGATTCTGAAATGAAATTTCAGAATCTTAAATATAAACCAAATTCTGGTGAATTTGGATGTATTTGCTTTTGTTACAATAAGGCATGAAAACAGAAGTTGAAACTTCTTTAAAATAAAAACTGAGTTTCAACCAGATTTAATATGACATAGTAAAAACCAGTCCTTGTGCCACAAAACTTGAGCCATGAATGCTGGTAACAAACTAAAAAGTTGGGTCTTTTTCTGTTACCATGTGTTGTAGGTGGGCAAAAGAAAGAGAAAGGACTTATGTATGCATGGGGGATAGAGCAAAGGTAAAGACACTATAATGGGTACATTACTAGTATAAAAAAATCCCTCTCCACACCTCCCCAAGGAATTTGTGCCTTGCTCCTCATGCTGTTATTGAGCTGCTCTCCAGCTGTAGACAAAATCTCTGAAATGGAGAGACCGTACTTGATTCGCAGTGTTATTGTGAGCTACAGCTTGAGATCCTTGGATGAAAGGTTTATAGCACTTAATTATCATTATTGGTACAGACATGTTTTGCTATTTGAATATCAATAAGTCCTTTGAAGAAGTCATTGAGCCTGCTAGAGTCAAAGCCCTGATTTATATCAAGAATTTTTGTTACTGTTGTTTTTTTCCTGGTGGGCTGTGTTTGTTATCTGTTTAGATTACTATTAAACTAGGGAAGAAATCAACAATCCAACATTAAAGCAAAGCAACTTGAAAGGATGTAATTCAAGTCCAGAAAAGAACAAAAATTACGATAATCAAGGTGAAATGCTGGTTGACTCTCCTCTCACCCTTAAATCACCCTGTTGTGCTAGGTTATTGCAGTGTGCACGGTCTGTCATAGAAGGATGATCTACCACTGTGAAGCCCTTTACATCCTTGCCCACAAAGTGTAGTGAATTTAAGATCAAGGCAAATGTTGGTTTTTAACCTTAGCTCCCAACTATTTTACTGTTATGGATCCATGTAAAATCGTAAATTGTATGTAAATTGTATGTTAAAAAAAAAATATGTAAAATTGGAT